TGCAAAGGCCCAGGATGGGTGGTGTGTCTGGTATGTTCAAGAACAGTGCAGAAAAGGTTGAGCCAGGCATGGTGGCACATGCCTGCAATCTAGTGGCTTGGGAGGCTGAGGCAGGAGGATCGCAAATTCAAAACCAGCCTCAACAACTTTATGAGGTGAGACACTGTTTCTAAAACATGAAAAGGGCTGGAGATGTGGCTCAGTGGCTAAGTGCCCTGGGTTTCAATCCCTAGTCCAAAAAAAAAAAAAAAAAAAAGATGTACAAAAGAAGGCTAGTATGGCTGGATTGAGCCAGCAAGTAAGTAAAGAGGGCAGGAAGATCACAAAGGGCATATATACTTGGTGTATATTAAGAAGTCGCTGAAACTTTTTTTAAGTTGTAGATGGACCCAATACCTTTCTTTATATGTATGTGGTGCTGAGAATCAAACCCAGTGCCTCACACATGTGAAGCAAGTGCTCCACCACTGAGCTACAAAGTCACTGAAATTTTTTGGACAGAGTAATGATATGTCTGAGTTTCAATTAAATCTCAAACTCAAAGGCTGATACGGTAAGAGCAGACTGCAGAGGGCAAGGGTACAAACAGGGATTCTAGGGAGACTGCCAGAATTGAACACAACCTAGATCTGGAGAGGTTTTAAGAAGCAATCAGATTCTAGATATATTCTGAAGGCAGAGAGTCATGCTTTCCTAACAGATTGGATCTGGGAATGAGGCAGAAATTCAGTTGTCAAGGATGGCAGGCAAGTTATAAAAGGATGCAGTTGCCTTCAATCACTTCAAAGCAAAACCCCAAAAAGACACTATGGCACAGATGTTCCAGTAATCCTGATTTATTTGACCTCATCACATTTTAAAGTCTCTTTTATTCATGCCTCATGTCCTCCCATCTAATCATGGAAGTCTAGACTGAATAACTGTTGCAGACAAATAATGATTTTTTTTCTTTAAGAAACCATGGGTAAACCAGGTACACWGGTACATGTCTATAATCCCAGCAGCTCGTGAGGCTGAGGCAGGAGGATTCCAAATTCAAAGATAGCCTCAGCCACTTAGTGAGGCCCTAAGCAACTTAGTGMGATGCTGGTATCACATACCTGTAATCCCAGGAGGCTGAGGGAGGAGGAACCCAAATACAAGGCCAGCCTCAGCAACTAACCAACTTAGTCTCAAATAAARTATGGAAAAGGGCTGGGAATATTGCCTAGTAGTTAAGGTCCCTGGATTCAATCCCTGGTACTATCAGAAAAAAAAAGAAAGAAAGAAAAAGAAACTATGGGTATAAATACATTGACAAGAAACACCCTATCCCAAAAGACAACCCCAGGCTAGACAGTGTATAACAGCTGGTCAAGCAACACTTGCCATTTCTCAGCTATGTGACTTTGGGCAACTCATTTCTGCTCTCCATGCCTCATTTCTTTGTCTTACAATAATAATATTACCCATAGGGTAATTGTGAACTCCTGAACAGAAGCCAAGCACTTAAGAGCAGCATCCAGAACAGAGAATAAAATGCATGCATATTCCAGTTATTAATGTCACTGTTGAGTTATCATCTTGTTTCTAAAACTCTGCATGACTTTATAAAAAATAACAGCTGGGAAACAGATGAGTCTAATAAAATTTCATAAACAAATAACCTAACACTAACATATTCTGAGTACAAAGACTCAGCATTATCACAGAACTCTACCTACCCAAACAGTCACTGAAATTCTATGGGACACATATCACTCCTTTTTGTGTCTGGGGGTGAGGTGAGGAAAACAGATTATGTGTTGTATCTCTGTGATTTAAAGAAACTGAACTATCATAGAAGACCCATAAACTCTGAACTTTTCAATACTGGTAGATGCTTGAGATGTTTTCCAGAATATAAGATACTTGAGCACTTCAGAGTTTTTTGTTTTTCTTTTGTTTTTGTTTGTCTGGGGGGGGGGGTTGTTTGGTACTGGAGATTGAATGCAGTTCCTTATGCATGCTTGGCAAGTGCTCCACCTCTGAGCTATATCCCTAGTCCCACTTCAGTTTTTTATTATACTGGAATTGAGAATTTTTGAGATGTAGTTTACAATGTTAACTAGTAATATAACAGTCAATAAAAACAGTCATCCCTCAATATCTGCAGAACACTGGTTCCAGAACCCCAGCAGGAAACAAAATTACTTAAGCCCCTTATATAAAAGGCCTAATATTTGCATATAACCTACACACATCTTCCCATTTACCTTTAATCATCCCTATAATACTGAATACAATATCCGTACTATGCAAATAGTCTCAATTCAGGGAATAATGAAAAATTCAGGGAATAATGAAAAAGTTAATATGTATTCAGTACAGACACAAAATTTTTTGGACTATTTCATCTGCAGTTGGATGAACCCACAATTATGCAACCTAATGATACAGAGGGCCAACTGGAACTCAGAAACTCCAATACAAATCGACAAATACAGGTATATGTTGACATTAGCATACATACATATATGAATTACTKAACCTAAACAAATCTGTCCTCTTCTCCCAGTCTCTGACATCACAAGAACTTCTACTAAAATACCTCTGAATAGCAGATAAAACTTCCAATCAATGATTCTCAAGCCCAGATGCATCTTAGAATTTCTTGGAGAGCTTTAAATAAACATATTAATACTAAAGTCCAGCCCTAGATTTCTGGTCAAATGAAAACCAATGCAGAAAAAACTAAAAAGTAATAAAATCTATGTTGAAAATGCCAGTCAGATAAGTCCTGGAGTAGTATCTGAATCTGAGAGACAGAACATTATTTAAATGGTAACTTAAAATTGGAGTTTAAACTAGCATCATCAAATGAACCAGTATTAGCTCACAAGATGAAATGATACTACAAACCTAATTAGAAACTATCTTAACCTGCCCTTTGCACTCTCAAACAATCCCAAATCTGTAAAACAACAGTTGGTAGCCATAATCCCAGGAGGCTGAGGAAGGAAGAACCCAAATACAAAGCCAGCCCCAGCAACTAACCAACTTAGAGAGACCCTCAAAATAAAAAAATAAAGAGGACTAGGGATATATCTCAGTGGTAAAAGCACCCTGGTTTCTATCCCCACTACTACCACCCCCCCAAAAAAAGTTGTAATCTTCCAAAATTTCTCTAAAAATATGCTGAATGACTGAAACTTAGATTTCTTTCAAATGAAAAAACACATCATAGTACTGCATTGTCCACTGGCAAAATCCTTCTAGCATAGTGCCAAATAGCTGGTTACAGTTACATGCTACACTCACACACACCCCTTCATTGCTATAGTCCATATTAATAATATGCAGCTTAGCTCTTAGAAATGTGAAAACTTTTGTTTTCATTTTTCTTTTTTTTAAATCTACTGTTTAAAACAAGGTATCCATCAAATATTAGTGCMCAACATAAAGAAAAAAATATTTCCAAATGTTGTTGCCTGTCCACATTGTGCAGGACTAGTTAACAACTTCCTATAATAAACTCATTCATTCCCTGTTTCCTTTAAAATATAATACTGAAACTTTATTAAATGTTAGACGTTTATTAAATGCTTGGGGCTATAGCAGTTCTGGCCTTGATATCCTTCTAGATGCTTTACCGCATATAAATGCCAAAATAAAGAATGCTGTTAGTTCAAAGACATCTAAAGAATAAGCTAAGGTAATGGACAGCTAAAGTAACAACAATAAAAAGGACATGGAACTAGAATTTACTAACAACCTATTATAAACCAAATGTTGTATTATTAGTCTATGTATGGTACTTATCTAATAAACTTGCCATCCTAAGATGAAATTACCACTTAAAAGAAATTATCAGAAGCCAAACAGTGAGAAAATTCTTTCTTTCTTAGTAATTTAAACATGGCTTTCCACATTACAGAGAATGTCCCATCTAATCAACTAGAAAGAATTAAAAGAGTTTTGTCAATTCATTCACAAGAAACTTTTTCAGGTTAATCCAACTAGATTTTAACTGTAAGAGGACTTGAGGGTTAAAAAAAAGAAAAATCAAGTTTTCATAAAAATATCTAATTTCAAATATTTTAAAGTTGAAAACTATGTAAACTGTATTTTATGTAGCTATTCATAGACCACAGAGCTTCCTAATAAAACAGTACTAACAAGGATACTGCACAACCATAAGATAAATATTATCAGACTCAGTAATGAGTCTTTTAACTTTTTTTTTTCCTCTGACACAAATTCTAGGCCAAAGCAAACATTACCCAGATGAATCAAATTCATAGGACTGTAACTCAAATCTACGCAAAAACTAGGAGACTTAACCCAAAGCCTTACGACAATCTTCTTAAAAGCATTTCGGGTAAGGTTATTTGACTGCAACCATACTCCTGTCATACTTTTTTTTCCCCTGAATATAGATATAATTTTTTTTCTTGCAATGTTTTCATTTTTAACGGCATTAGGGATAGGGGACAGCCCAGTGGAGTCAACTGAAAAGTGACAGGGATACCGAGTCGGACAACTGAGGTCCATAATTTCAAAATGGAAATTCACTTCTCAGTTTCGCCAAGGCTCATCTATATTCCTTCCCTTTTCAAAAAACACACTTCTACCCCGTGGCGCCTAACTTGGCCTCAGGCTACATTCTGTCAGTGCCTGGAACCCCCCGGCTCTCAGCCGCCGCCCTGGACGCTCAGGTCCGGACAAGGACGTAGTTCACGTCACCTCGCGACCTGCACACAAGCATTCCCCACGCTCGGCCCCGCGAGGACTCCGAGCCACGGCTCGCAAAGTTTCCCTGGCCGCTCACTAGGGAAAGCTTGGGGGCAGCTCGGAGGCTGCGGGAACTGAACGCCCGGTGGCGCGGACCAAGAGCCAGACAAGCACCGTTGACAGAGACCGGCTGAGAGCCGAAGCAGCCCGGACGCGCGGACGCGGGTTGTGCAGCTGAGCGCCGAGGCGCAGCGGGTGGGGTGCGGGGCTGCGGAAGGGGGCTCCGCGGGGCCGCCGCCCGCGCTCACCGTCGATGTTCTCCCGGTCGCTGATGTGCTGCAGGTTGCAGCCCGTGTCCTCACGGCTCAGGTCCGTGTCGGGCCGGTAGGACTCCAGCCGGGAGTGGGCATTCCTCCGGAGCTTGGGGCTGGACGACACGCAGCACGAGGTAGTGTTCCCCATCTTCGGCTGCCCCCCGATTCCTGCTGCYTTCGCCTTCTTCCCGGTCCCCCGTGCGGGGCGCGGGGGCGTGGAGGGAGGCCCGCCCGCCGCCGCCGCGGGAGGGGGCGGAAGCCGCGGCCGGCCGCCGGGTTAGCAGCGGCGGCGGCGGCGGGGCCTCGCCATGGGCGGCGGAGGCGACRAGCGGACGGCGGCAGCGACGAATGGACGGCGGCAGCGACGAGCGGGCGGCGGCACCGGCTCTCCTCGGCCTCCGTGCGCGCCCGCCCGAGCCCGGCCGGCCTGTCCGCGGCGGAGGAGCGCTCAGGTCCGCGCGCGACTGCGGCCGCCGTGCGGAGCTCACCCCGCCGCGGCCATGGCGGGCGGCGCCGCGCAGGCCGCCTCCACCCCCCGCGCTTCGCTGTCAGCGCCCGGTGCCCCAGCGGCAGCGGCGGCCTCGGCAAGCGGTTCCGGTTCAGGCCAGGGACACGCGGGTGCGCGCCAGGCAGCCGGGAGGACGTGGGCGCGGCCCTCCGCTGGCGCGGCTAGGTATGGTGCGGTGCGGCTGGAGGATGCTCGCGCCCGCCCCCGCCGGCGCTCCCGCCCCCGCCGCAGCCCCCGCCCCGCTCCGCAGCCCCTGCCCCGCCCCGCAGCCCCTGCCCCGCCCCGTCGCCGCCTCTTCCCTCTGCCCTGGAAGCAGATCCGCAGCTTAGGGAGGTGCGGAGTCGCCCAGCGGCCTGGGCCTTAAGCGACTACCGGGAGTCGCAGGCTAGGGCGACGGAAACTCGGCCTCTGGAAATGCGTCCTCCTCTGCTGGTCTCGCTCCCTCCACGTCCCCCGGGTCGCCGGCATAAGAGGAGTGTCTGGCGGCCCCAAGGCTGGCCGGTTCCAGGACCCTGGGGAATATGCGGAGAGGTCAGAATCCGCGAGAGCACCGCAGAGGGACACGGTTCATTGTGGGGGACACTAGCACTGCCCCAAGAGCGCTGGGGCTGCTCCAGCCTCTCGGGAACGGCAGAAGCAGAAGCTTTTATTATTACCAATATTATTAAAAGCGTTTAAAGAAGTTAARCCTTAATGGAAATTAGGCTCTTCTGTTTAGACCTTTTTTCTGAGGACATGATAAAGTGATCTTTTTTAAAATCCCAAAATAAATCTCGGGGACCCAAGAGCTATTTTAATGAAGAATTAGGCCCAAAGTTGAGTTCCTAGCTGTTCATTAGACAAGTTAATACATCTCGTCGACCCTTGTTTTTACTTTTTAAACGCCGTCGGTTTTTGGAAACGGTCTGAACTAAGGCCAGTTAACTAAGCTAAAAGTCTGTGAAAGCTCCTGGCACCTGGGAGGCATATCAGTAAAAGTCGGTCCCCAGTGCCAAGGATTGTAGAGACTATTGCTTCTTGCCTTCAACCTCACCCTTTTTCCAAATAGCGAAGGAATCATGAGAGGGCATTGATGTGGGGGATGTGTAATACCCTCCACAGATATAGTTAATAATACTATAATAATAAAATAATAATAGAAGAGAAGTAAGGGAGTTGGTGTTTACATAGCATCAGCAATGCTATAGACAGCTTTTCAGGTTTTACAGATTTTTTTTTTTAATTCTCCATATCTAGTCTTTTTTTTTAATCTGCCTGTACCTCCATCAAACAGTAATTTTATAAATTTATTCTTCAATTTTTTTTTTTAAAGCACATGCTCCGAGCTGTGGTATTGGCATTTGTTGGGATAAGTGGCAGATGCCCTTGGGAAATAAATGACCGCAAAGTAGTGATGAGACCACAATGTAAAAGAGATGTTCTAAAGAATTGCAGCCCTCCAAAGGAGGCGCAGATGGCAACAAGACAAAATAATGTTTTTACCTGTCCCAACCTTGTGGCCCAGAGAATGTGTATATTCCCATTTTCAGGACATAATGTGTGGTGGGTAAGGTGGCTGAAAATTGGGAGAGGGGTTTTCCATATTGTCTGTTTAGATTGCTGGTTTGTAATCTGGGGCATTGTGTGAGAGTAAGTAGCCCAGCATTGACCTGTATGTATAAAGTGTGTATCTATTCAGGCATGTGTATTTGATCAGGAAATTTATATTTATAATAAKGTTTAAAGACTTTGAGGAGAGAAAGAAGGGGGCTCAAAAGCCAGCATAGCTGTCTACATGCTTCTCTATTGGGCAGTGTTAACTGAGAGGGGCATTCTGGAAGTGGGGTAGAGTGACTGGGGGTCAGGGGAGCCACATGCCCTTACCAAAGGATGTTCTATTGGTATTCAGGGATTTTTTTTTTTTATCCCAATGATCCCCTTCTTCCTCTGTAACATTCCAGCCATCCCTAGAACACAGAAAACAAAAGGGAAATGCAGAGTCAGGAAAGGGGGAAAAAAAACTGCTAAGGGTATAGCTGCCCTATTCATATCACCTGGTAGCCAGTTTCCTGTATCAATTACTAAAACATTTCTAAAGCAATTGTAGAATAACTAAGACCCTTTGTGTGTTGTWCAACTGATGCTCTCCTATAACTCTTACTTTACAATGACCTTTTCTAATGAGGAATCCTTTTGATATTTGATGGGAAACAGTTATAGAGGAAGTATTTACTTTGATAGCTACTTGACCTTGACCAGTGCAAGGCAATTCATATATATACTGAGCCAGGCACCTTGGAGATAGAAGTAGATAAGATATAGTCCCTGTCCTTGAGAAATTCACAGTCCAGTGAGGTAAACAATACAAGAACAAGGTTAGAAAGTGTCCTGCAATGAAGATGCTTATAGACAGTTAATGGTAAAATCTGAAAATGCCAGCCTGCTACTTATAAATACCTACATTTATCACTTGTGCATGTATCTAAAATTTCACTATGAGATGGTTTATTCCCATGAAGTAACAAAATATCCAGAGATTCCCTATCAGAATGAAAATTCCCACAAGAAAATAAGGATGGGTGATAAATGTAAGTACTAGTTCCAAGTCTTTTGAACCAGAGTAACTGCCAGAAACAGGAACATTGTGTTGAGTATGAGGTTGTTTCAGCTCAGCAGAGAAGAGTGGTCCCATGAATGAAGTTGGGGGAAGATAGCACTTAAGCCACGCAGTTTCTATCCATGGAATACATGATGAAGCAGGAGGAAGTCACCTCTGGATATCTGGAAGAAGGAAACTGGTTAATTTACCTCACCATTGAGAATTCAYCATCTATCCCCAGGCTAAATGGCCTTAAGAAGCCCAGTTTCTCTCTTGCCAGAATAGAATCTACCTTCATCCTTCTGGGCTCACCAAGAATGGGAATGGTAAGTGCATATGTGCTCCCTAAGAGCTAGTATACCTTTTTTTTTTTAACATTTTTAGTTGTAGATTAAAACAATACCTTTATTTATTTATTTTTATGTGGTGCTGAGAATCGAACCCAGTGCCTCACACATGTGAGGCAAGCAGTCCATCCCTGAGCCCCAGCCCCAGCCTGCTAGCATACTTCTGATAAGGCAAAGTAGGTAGAGTCAGGCATAAATCAGGGTGGAAGAGCCTACTGCATTCGCATCCAGTGTCCATTCTTCCCTCCCCCTTGGTTACAAGGCCTTCCATTTTGTGAGCAATAGCAGTTGGCCCCACTCAGAGAAGACAGTGAGCCCTGTGACAAAGTGTGGTCTAGCCAATGAGATGTGAATGGAAGCTTCCAGGAAAACTCTGAAAAGGCTTCCACTTCTGTTTTTTTGGAATGTGGATATAATGGCTGGAATTCTGGTCCACTTTGGAATACCAGGTGACCTTGAAGATGGAAGCCATTAAGATACTGTTCTTGTAAGCTTTTACATAAGAAACAAACTATGTTGTATAAACCAGTGCTACTTTGAATTCCCAAGTTATATGCAGCCAAACCTTATCCTGATATGGCTAAGATTTAATATTTTTCTTTGATAAGAGTTTTATATATTCAAAGCTGGGTGTAGTGGCAGATGTCCATAACCCAACAACTCAGGAGGCTGAAGGAGGAGGATCATTTCAAAGCCAGCCTCAGCAACTTAGTAAGGCCTAAGCAACTCAGCAAGACTGTCTCTAAATAAAACACAAAAAAGGGCTAGGTATATGGCTCAGTGGTTAAGTGCCCCTAGGTCAATCCCCAGTACCAAAAAAAAAAAAAAAGTTTTATATGTTCACATTGACAATTTTCACAAAAACTTGGGATAGTCATATGTACCTGGCTCACCATAGCAGAGTCCAGCATGGGATTGGAGCAGGCAATAGGCAAGCTGAGGAGTTAAAGAAGAATTTGGGGACAAAAGAAAATTGTTTGTCCAAAAAGCAGATTAATCCCCAAGGAAATAAAAAAAAAATTGTTTGGGTTATTAGAAGTTGAACATCCCTAATTCAAAACCTGAAATGTTTGAGCTCAAAAAGTTTTGGGGGCTGGGATTATGGCTCAGTGGTAGAGCGCTCGCCTAGCATGGGCAGGACCCGGGTTCGATCCTCAGCACCACATAAAAATAAAGGCATTGTGCTGTGTCCATCTAAAAAAAAAAAAAAAGATTCATATTCTCTCTCTCTCTCTCTCTCTCTCTCTCTCTCTCTCTCTCTCTCTNTCTCTCTCTCTCTCTCTCTCTCTCTCTCTCTCTCTCTCTCTCTCTTTCTCTCAAAAAAAGTTTTGGATTTTGCATTTCCAGATTAGGGGTGCTCAACAGATAAAGTCTACACATATATTTCAAAATTTGAAAAAAAAAATCAAATCTGAAACACTTCTGGGCCCAAGCATTTCAGATAAGGGATACTCAGCCTATACTTTAAAACAGTACTCCTTCAATATTCCCAGAAGTGGAGGCTCCCACCTACTTTGTTTTGTTTTTAAAGAACCTGCCACCTTCTATGCAATAGGCATTTCACATATCTTAAATTAACTGACCCTGGTTTCTAACACTATAAAACCTGACAGCATTTAAAAGTAAAACAAGAGTAGTTTATGACGTGCTAATGTATTGCCTCTATCTCACATTAGTAACCTTCAAGGAACTCAAAATATATTGCTGCTATTATTTGACATTAAAATAGCTCTGGGGCCTCTGTGAGCAGCCAAGTAGATCCTACAGACTGGCAGTACAATCACTCCCCTGCTTAGAACCTGTCAATAACTTGTTGTTTTTAGAGTTTCAGCCCACTGGGCACTCAAGTCCACCTTCTCTCCAGCC